TTGGATCGTGTCCCAGTGGCTCAATGGTCTACGAGCTCGCTAGCCTTGTAACCAGAAGGTCCTGGGTTCGAACTCCGGTGGGTCCATACTGATGAAGAGCCCAAACTAGGACGAAACAGCCGTTCAGTACTCCCAGGTTTTCCAGTGGTTCTCTAACTGATGTCAGCTCATGATGAAATCCTCCATGCAATCAAAAAAGAAGAACAGATACCGAAATCTTGAAGATATAATCTAACAGTAGGGCAAAACTATCGGTCGATGATCGGCGCCTAGGACGACTAGTAGACACACAAGCTAAGATTTTATACATATACAATTTCATTTATCATCCTCTAGTTGATAATAATAATAATAATAATCGTGTATTACACTGTGTATTAGATTATATCAAACTAATCTAATGTAGCATTTGTTGAAAAAAATAACAAGAGGATATGAAAATGTGTACACTGCTCAGGTAAGCATGTATGTATGCATGCGTAAATGTGATCACATTTTATGCTAAGTTATTTATTATCATGAATTTTTAACTATATATTTAGATTATCTCTCATATCCGCCTACATCAAACAGTTAAAACAGTTCGGCACAACAATCGTTAGAAAGCTAATATGAATGTTGCCTTCTTTCCGTTCATCTTTTTTTGTTGTTGTTAGTGTTGCATCGACCGCCAAATAATTTGTAAAACTTGCAATTAATAGTGTTGGTTTAGTTGCGAAGCTTTCGTCGTCCCCCTGCTGGACAACATCCCCTTTCAGCGCAATATTTACCATCAAGTGAAATGATTTAAATTTCTTCATGAGCGATAGATAGAGTTAAGTCTCCCGGTAACTATCTTTACATATGTATTGACCATTTTCTATTGACTTGGATTTTAAACTTTCTGGTCATCTGATTTACTTTTATTAGTTGGTATATTTCGTCTATACTAAGGTGCTTGTTAATTGCATTGTCGTTTGAGTACCAGGCTTCTAGGAATTCCCTGACTGCACGTTTGATGTTTCCTCTGTCTAAGATTTTGACATTATCCCAATCAAATTGATTTCCATAATTATCTATATGCATTGATAGTAAAGAATATATATATCGTGTCTTTTCACGGCTGATTTGTGTTTCTGGATTCTGATTCACAGGGGATGCCCACTTTGACCACTGATGTAATGTCTGTTACAGTTCATACAATTTATTTTGGAAATGGTATTAATTTTATCCCCTTATTCTGTTGGATATGTCTTTCGGTTTGCATAATATCGAATTAAGCGATTTGACTGGTTTGTGTGCTATATCTATTTCAAACGGTTTCAGTATTCTAGCTGTTATTTCAGAGATATTTCTCATGTATGGTAGAATGAATTTTCTTGTGTTCTTTGATGATGCTTCCTTGGGTGTTTTAATTCAACTTTAAACACTTTTTGATGAAATTTTGTGGATAACCATTCTTTATGAAGACCGTTTGTAGGTACTTTTCTTCCATTCTTTTCAACGCTGGAATGCTACAGTGTGTGTGAATTCTTTTAAACAATGTCTGCACACAACTTCTTTTTTAAGTAATTGGATTGTTGCTAGTATAGTTGAGTATTTGATCTATGTGCGTTGATTTTCTATATACTTGTGTTTCTAAATTCCCTGTGTTGGTTCTCTTGATTTAGACATCTAAAAAAATGGGATTTTGTTATCTAATTCTTCTTCTCTCTTGGTGAATTTGATGTCTTCAAAGGTGTTTAATTAATTTATGAGTATATTCTAAATCATTTCTCTTAATCATTACAAATGTATCATCAACGTAGCGTACCTATCCAGATTTTCGGTTTAATTATAGGTAGAGTTATTAATTCTAACCTTTGCAGAATAACGGCTTCAGCTATTAATCCTGATATGGGCAATGATCCCATTGGTGTTCCTTTTATCTGTTCATATATATTTGAGTATTGAACTGGAAGTATGTTGTAAGGCATAATTTTATGAGTTCCATCATCCAAGTTGATAATTGCGTTTTTATGTTTTCATCACTATAGAGTAATTGTTGCATAGTTTCTGTTTGTTGTTATTTTTTGCAATAATGTCTAGCCAAGAGAGAAATACAACTGCCACACCAATAATGCCAGCAGTCATTTTCAACCCGCACATACACACACACACACACAAACAAACAAACAAATGAAACGAAAATACTACCACACTAATACCTTAATCATTTCAATTCACCTTATAATACCCACACCCTTATATACGTATATATTTGCATCGCATTTCAACAACAAAGTGAACAATGCAACATTTTGTTACACAATTTGAGAGAAAAGAGAATATCATCAAAAGAAATAGCAACACATAAATGAAAACTATGTTAGTCAATATAACCAACTAACTCACTAACTAACTAAATGGAATGATGCCTGCACAGTGAAAATGATGGTGGATAGATCAATTTCTTTTTTTAAAAAAAGGCTCACATAATACTCAAGTGGTGGTGGTAGTTTTCAGCTCAGCAGTCCGCTCCGTCCTCCTTTATGGTTGTGAGACCTGGCCATTGAGAACGGAAGACATGAAAAGGCTGGCTAGCCATCTTTGATCATAGGTGCCTGCGTCCTATTTCCCGTGTAAGGTTGTAGTATAATAAGGTGACCAATATTGGGGTCAGGCATCGGTCAAGTGCTAGGTAAGGAGGGGAAATCAATCGACGAGGCTGTGAAGTTACATCGACTGAGATAGATGGTTAAGACATGTGTTACGTATGCCTAGTCATCGCCTTCCTCGACAATGGGCAATGTTAGCTGATATAGAGTCAGGCTGGAAAAGAGCTAGCGGCGGTCGAAACATAACATGGCACTAGTCAATGAAATCTGCAACAGCTAGTCTAAGCCACGTAGGAAAGTGGAGACTTCTTGGTTGGGGTCCTTGGGACGGTAAAACCAATGGTTGGAAACAATTGGTGACATGGCTCAAACTCATCGTTCTCAATGGCTGTCGCAGACAGATGCATCCACTCCTTGTGACTTATGATTTCCAATTAAACTGTTTTGTTCTTCGTTATTACTATTCCTTTGTCTCACACCTGTGTTTACTGTCTCTAATATGCATTTCTCCTACTTTCTTCTCTTGCTTTGTGTGCTACAAGGAGGGAGTGTGGCGAATTGAACTTCCGCACATATGTGGAAAGTTCTATGTCGAAAACCGACCGACCGGTTGTTTTCAGGGATTTGATTTGATTGGACACAGTATTTCATCAATTCGGTGACATTGGGGTAAGGGAACCACTAAGCCACTGTGAATTAGGTTCCAGTGGGTGAATGAATATTAATGGTCTACGAGCTTGCTAGCCTTGTAAGCGAAACCCCCTGGGTCTGAAACCCTGGCCGTGAGTACGTACTGTCCTAAACTAGGCTAACGAAACAACTGACGGTCCAGTACTCTCTGCTGGTTTTCAAATGGTTCTCTAATTGATGTCAGCTAATGAAGAAATCTTGCTCAAATAATAATCTATGCAACACAGATTGAAGCGAGCAAGAATGGTATTGTTGTAAAGTAATTTGAATGTAAATTTGATAGAGAGAGGCTCCTTATTAATATATGTGTAAAACTTGGGCACTGTGGTAGGAAGTAATTCCATATTAGTTTGTTTATTAGATGTATCACACAGTGAAACAGTATTATTTACTGGATGACTATACCTTTCGAACACAATTCATTGTTCATTATCATATAAATTATAATTACATCACTTCGAAACTTGAGTTTTATAGTTTTCTTTGTCCTCTCCTATTTGTCGTCAAAGGGGTAGTAGAATTTTCCAGATGTTCGGATGGATAGGTGTTGAATCATTCCTATTACACGTATTCCCTCTCAGTTGATTCGATAAACATAGCTTCCGTTATCAATCTCTCCCTCCACCCTGCTGTTACGTTAGATTTAAAAACTTTCATCTTATCCCATTCTGTCCTATTGTATGGTTGTGTGTAAATGCATGTAGTGAGTGACATAGCTGAACTATTCTCTAGATTTCTTATCTTATTCGGGTCAACCAATCAAGATTTTGCTGCTAGGTTTTTATGCTCGGCTAGTCTGACTGCCGCTGTTCTACTACTTTGACCTACGTATTTGACCTGACAATCATTCCGGCAGGGTATTAGATAAACTAAATTGTTTGGTTTTAAAGGCTCCACAGGAGTGATTCTTTAACAGACAAAGCTTGTTTCTAATTGAGTTTGTGACTGGTTTGAATGCCAGCCACTTTTATTCCTGCCTTGTTAAGAATTCTGCGTAAGGCTTCCGAGGTTCCTTCTTCGTATGTTATTACTACTGATGATTTAGATTCCTTATTGTTGGTGTTGTCATTATCTTGAGCATGTTTGATATGCATGTCGTCATTAATATTATTATTATTACCATCACTATCACTACTATCATTGTTTATTTTATTTTTACACTTCCCTAAATAATTTCTGACTAATTTATCAGGGTAATTATTAAGTTTCAAAGTTTCTCTCCAGACAATGACATACGGAATATGGAAACGCAATGTTCAAATCAGTCAGTTCTTCTCCTATATGGGTCAGAAACTCGTGGCGAGAGCTTCACCAAAAAGCATTTCTCACAGGTTACTGAAGACTTTTGATCAACAGCTGTCCACTTTCACTGGCTGCTGCTCCATATTGAAGATCAAATGGTCAGTCGGAAAGAATTGGCGACAAGAAAAAACTGTTGGGGGGGGAACGAACCAGACACGAACCTGTTGCAAAGAGACAAGCCACCCATAGAATGACACATCGCGCACCAGCCCCTAGAAAGGGACCCCAATAAGAGACAAAGAGTTTGGTTTCCGACGGTGACATCGAGATGACGGCCTATGGGCAATTGTGGGTCCAGATAAAGAGGACTGAAGAGATGTGGTGCTGCCGAAGCCCCGTACGTTCTACTCGACGGGACCCAATGGGAACAACAATAATAATAATAAAAGAATGGCATTCCCAACACACACACACTCACACATAGGGACTTACAAATAATCTTTAAATTCACTGAATCCGGTGAATATTTCTTTTCTTTCGTTAATGGATTAATCGCCGCACATCTGTAGATCCCGCAATCACGTGGTTGAAAACTTTGTATCAGCAAACTGACACGTTTTCCATCTGCTCGAGTAATTTGACGATATTTTTCATTTTTCAAGGCTAAAAACGTCATACAAAAAAGGAGAAGAAAAAAAGCTGATGAAACACTTCGTGTGAGTGAAAGAAGAAAATCAGCTGGTCTAGGTCTAACAACAATAATCGACAGGTGGTTCGGGAAGGCAAAATTTCACACACACACGCACGTGGATTGCTTTACTGAGATCGAATGGACATATCATATCACTCTAACTATCACACACACCACAGGATTTTATCATGAGTTGATATCGGTTAGAGAACCATTGGGGAACTAGCGGAAGGTACTGGACAGTTCTTTCGCCCTAGTCTTTGGGACTCGAACCCAGGAATTTCCAGTTATGAGGAGAGCTTGTAGACCACTAATTCAGCCACTGGGACGCAATCCAATGGTCAACCCATGAATTCCAACTTCTACCAATCCACCATATAGCGCGACCACTAGCCAAAGTCATCAGCGAGTATCTCTGTCGTCACACCCAACCTGATGTACCTACACACACCAACATTCGAATATCACACGACAATTGGTGCTCTTCCCAGATGAATACAAATCAAAGTAATCAAACCTATGAAATGCTTTAAGGTCATCTGACCAACCAATCAACTGAGGTCAACCTAGAGAATAGTGAACATGGAGTGCGAACACACACACAGCTCTAGCTTGAAGCCCTATGTTCCACTTACCAATGATGCGGAGCGTAAGGCGTCCCATTGCACGAAAATACACGCCACTCTTATGTCATAATTATTAAGAATTTTCTTTATTTCATTATAGTTCATATGAATTATTATTCATAGACCATGTTGAATGCTGTTTTAATATTAATCTTGTGATTGATTCATATCAATTACGAAGTTCAGTCATCCATAAACCACACCACCTTACTACTTCTATGCAGCCCAGGGTTCATCATAATGAATGATCAGAAAGACTTAACTGCAAGTGACAACACTGTATATTGTGAATATATGTCTCAGTCATATTGTGGTGAGAACTGGCTGCTAGCCAAATTGGTAGATGGTAGATGGTGGTAATAAACGTCAATGTTTACGTCCTCAAATATTGGTCATGAGAAAAATATGAACAAAGACTAAGTGACTCAACAACCAATCACAGCAGACTTTGTTTGCGTAGGCGGATACAATTAGCAGATAGATGATCTGACATTCAAGAAACAGCCACAAAGAGATGAAAGATTTACTAACGTTCAGTGAGAAGCAACCAATCAAAAGACTGTGTTTGCATGCTAACAATAATCTATAATAATGAGCATGAAAATCTATAAATATGTGTTGATTTCCTAAATAAACGATCTATTGCCTGGCCCTTGTCTTCTGTGGTTACAACCTGAAGCTCCTGAGTTCGATCCGCGGTGGAGTGAGTTACTGACGCATAGTGTTGAAGAGTTCCACAAACTAGGATAGGATAGCTGTCAAATTAATTCATGATTTTAGGTGTTTTTTCTAGCTGAAATGTTAATTTGCATAATTTATCAGTTTTAAAAACAGCACTTTTTTATTCCTTCACGTTCCCAGTGGAACATAGGGCTTCAAGCTAGTGGCTGGGAGTTTCTGTAGCAATGGTGATTATTTTTACAGGATGGGGTTGCTTCTGGCCTCATGCCCAACCACCTTTCCTCTTTACCAGCATTATCTCTGGCTTAGCGAGGTGAAGGAGTGCGTCTATGGCCAGGGATTGAACCCCGGACCATGTGCATGGTCGGAGAGCGTCCCAGCCGCTGTGCCACCGACGCACAAAGCCAGCTCCTCGACCGGGAATCGTACCCGGGCCTTCTACGTGACAGGCGGAGATACTCATGATAAATAATGAAACTAAAACAAAGGAGAGAGATGGAGGAGAGACAGAAACAGAAAAAAGTGTCTCGCATGAACACAAAAGATAATAATAATAATAATGCCCACGATGTAACATACCTGTAAGATCAATAACAGTATTGTTCAACTCAAATTCAATTATAGGCTTTGGGAAACTGTTTACAGGTAAATAGCAATCAACAATGGCTATATTTCCATGCAGAAATTCTACATTTTCAGTATGAGATGTAGCAGAAGCTCCTCCAGAGTTTCTTGAAGGCGGGAATGAGCCTAAAGCTAGAGAATGATATAATAAAATAGGTGAGAAGAATGATATATATAAATATATATGCTGTAAATGAATGTGAACATTGAACGCTGGTTTATTGGCCTTGGTCGCCATTGGCGGGCAAGTCGAAGGCGCGAATGATTCAATCGTGTACAAGTTTGAAGAAGACGAAGGAATACGAATAAAAGTACAGTACATTCCCTGTGAAACATTTTTATTTTTTTATTTTGATTGTAGCTTGAAACCACACCGTATTTTTGGAACAAGTATGGAATTTTCAGCATGTCATACCGATAGCCCAAATTTTGCAGGCCGACCATTGATATCAGGTGTGCATCGGCTGGGGATCGAACCCCGGACCATGTGAATGGTCGGGGAGAGTCCTAACCGCTGTGCCACCGACGCACCACCGACTTTGTACAGAGTATTGATTTTAACTGCCGAACAACAAAATTTATTACCAGCCCTTGTGTTTTCGCGTTAAGGTCAATATTGTGCATAGTAATTGTTGGTTCGAGCGTCTTCGGAGATAATAGGAACTTAGGGGGTTAAGTTCCTTGACATATGCATTAATGATACACTTATCTTGAATTAACGTAAGGGTAAAAATGGCCAAGTTAAACTTTAAGCACCACTAACTAACTACCAATGGAGTGGGACCGCGCCAGTGACCTTTAAACGCTCACTGAGCAAGTTACTGAAACCTGGCAAATAATGTTATCATCATCAATAAAATCTGATCATCGAAGTGTTACGCTATCAAATGGGATATCTGGCAAGTTTTACCTTAGGTTTTGGAAGGATTAAGTTACTCTTAAGACCACGGACAAGTTAGGGTTACGTTAACCTAATAAAGGTGACATTAGAGTTGGTTTGAGTTAGATTACGGTTAGTTTAGAGATTTTTGCACGTCAGGGTTAGGCTCAGGAAAGATTAGGGTTATTTTTAGGGATAGAAGACCTAAATAATTACATGCATAGAATGTGGTTAAATTTCTCTGCTGATATAAGAATAGAACTTGTGCAGTGTGGTAGAGTATAATTCCATTGTGGGTAAAATTTATGTTGAAAAAGTCTCACGGTGTGTTAAACAGTAATATTTACTGATCACTACGTTTCGAGCACAACTTATTGCTCAGGAAATATTACTGTATTACACTATGAAACTTTATCAAAATAAATTTTGCCCACAATGGAATTACACTCTGTTGATACTCCAACCTAAAACTGAGAGCTACTTCTTTCACATGTGAGAGAAAGGTATCCTCCGTAACACTTTTACACAGTTTTTATGCATTTTTTTCATTAATACATGTATTCCATACACAAAAATGCCTCCTTCACGTGATTGGTGCGTTCGGGGTCATTCGCTGATTGGTAGTTAGTGGTGCCTAAAGTTTAACTTTGCCGTAAAAATTATCAATAGTATTCCTTTACCCTTCGAGTGGAACACAGAGTTTCATAGATATACACTAATAGACTTGGCCCTAACTGACTTCAGAGACTCAAGGATAGACTTGATACCATCAGGGTATAATCTTGTTGACTGAGAATATGCAGATGATGCAGTCCTCCTCCTAGGTGATGACGACGCTGAAAAAATGCAAAGTCTTCTGTGAACACCTTGAGGAGCGGCAATCTTCTATATTTCAAAACCAAGTTTAATTTTAACAATTTGAAAAAATCTGGCCATTGGGTATATGATATTCATCATAATAAAGGATTTTTTGTTTTTCCCAATGAATGAAAAACAAGAAAACGATACTGTCGCTCTTACTGACGTTTCGCTATCTTAAATGCTGCTAATAGCTTTGTCAGAGTCAGTCAGTTCTTATATATATGAGTCAGAAATTTGCACTGCGTGTGCGTCACGAGGAGCATTTCCAACAGGCCACTGCAGACATTTATGGACAGCTGATTCCTTCACTGGCTCCATATTGACGATCGAATGGCCAGCACCAACCGATGCTAATCTAGCACAAACATCCTTCATCCCACGACACCACGTCATGGACTGACCACTCCGCTCCGCCTTTTCCATCCCGTCCCAGAGCTGGCTAGCGAACACAGACCTGTACGGAAGCCTCTGGGATGACATTCACAGCACATGTCCAAGCCACCGGAGCCGGTGTTTCCAGATGACGATACTCAATGAATGTTGATCTCCAATGTATTCAAACACACGCCACCGAACCTCAGAATTACTCACGCGATGATGCCATCGAACGCAAGCAATCCTGCGGAGACAGCGGTGATCAAACACGCAGAGCCGCCGCACATCCTCAGCTCGGAGACACCAGATTTCACAGGTGTAGAGCGAGACAGCCCACACCGAAGCATTGTATACCCGACATTTGACAGCCAGGCTAACTTCGCGACAGCGCCAGAGGTGGCTCAAGTTGATGTATGCCACCCTAGCCTTCATTATACGGTTGGAAATCTCACCCTTCACCCCTGCGCCAGCGCTCACACAACTACCCAAATACACAAACTAGACGGCGCAAAGTACATACCACAATTACAGACACTGACACTGATCCAAGGGAACCATAAATAATACAACTGAAAATAAATCAAGAGAATGAAACAATCAAAACAAAACACACACACAAAAATCAAACACTTACTAGCTGGTAGCACACGAAATGGTGCACTTAATTTACGACCAAATGACGTGGACACGGAACAGTGAAGTTTCATCAATTCCAGTTGACTTAATTCCCGTTGACTAGAGACAATAAGACGAATAGCAACTTCATCATGTGCTGTAGCTGCAGGATTGTCACGAATAGCATCAGCTGATGTCTCATGAATAATCAGCTGATTGACAGACTGTTGATGACTACCAACAACACCAACAACACCGTTGTTAGAACCACTATTGCCAGTTAACAACAACAGATTGCCATCTGAGTTTGGAAGATGATGCGGAGAAGACGAAGACGACGTCGACGAAGACGACGTGATTTGTTCAGCAGATAGGATAGCATGACGTTGACTTCCAAGACCTTGTGGAAGATGTACTAAGCCATTGTTATTATTATTATTATTATTATTACTATTAGGATTACCAGCAATCAATGAGGTGGACACGATAGGATTTAAACCAAAGGTTTGATCTGGCAATACTGATGAAGTTGCTTGCTGTTGAGCCAGTAGATGCAGTTTTGAATTTGCTGGCCATGCTCGACATACAAGTTCAAGTGGTGGGAAGCTGACACTATCACTTGATGGATAGACAAACTGGGATATAGATGGAGGTAGGCCCGTAAAATGTGGTATAACTATTTGCAAAAATAAAGTAAAATCAATGTAAACAAGTGTTTAATCTTTGTTCAAGAATGAATAATACAGAAAGTTTAGTTATGTAGGCAGAATAACATCAGTAGTAGTAATGGTGTGATACAGATTCGACAGAAAGCGCCTCTCCCAGGTAGAGGTGTTTATTTCTCAAATCTGGAAAGGAAATAAATAACCACACTAGACAACTAATTGTTTAACCTCTGGGGCTGATTTAATTGCCAACCAGAGCAAAACAGTTTATTCTGTTCTGACCCTCGACAAACTTTATAATGTGGCTTATAATTTATAATGTGGACACTAGTTACTAGTGTCCAATGAAAATACCCACTACAGTCCTACAGGAGTTTGTCAGTCGTGAGCCCGAATAGCTCAGTGGTAACGTCTCTGCCTGCAGGCAGTACTGGGTGACGCGGGTTCGAATCTTAGAAGGGACATAAGTTCCTTCAAGGCAGTTGCAGATACGCCTTGCTGACTATTGGTGAGTGCCAACTAGCACGAAACCTAGGTCCAAGGCTTCCTTTGGCCGATTGCCTCCAACTATCTAATATCATCAAATAAATGTGCATGTTGCTTGACTTCGTGCATACTCACTCTAAGGCTGTCCCAGTGAATTTTCAATGTAGGTTTTTACAATCTAATGATATACATTTAACACTGGATTGGTTCAAGTGCTTTCCACTTACCAATTTTTATTAATATTACTCATCTCTGATGTTTCCAGTGGATTAATTGACATTTATGATATTAAACAGATCACATATAGTGATATGAATACTTTTTGGAAGAAAAGTGTAGTGTATAAATTGTAAATTGTGGACAGCTTCAGAGCATCTGCCAACCGCATAAGGCACTGCCTTCACGCTGTATGGAAGGAGTGAAAGAGTCAATGAGAATATCTGGCGCATGTCTACCTAAAGGAGCTTGAAAACTCAAATCCCAAAACCTAAGGTATACGTGGTCTCTAGAATTCGAAAGCATCAAACAGGCATAAAATGGACTCACACAAAATACCAACTTGAAGGATCTGGACTTCGCCGATGATATATGTCTGATTTCCCACAAACTAGAAGATATGCAAGCGAAAAGCAACAAGTTGGCAGAAGAAGCATCAAAGATAGAAAGGACTTCAGGTGAACATAGAGAAAACAGAGGTGATGAAGATTCCTGGGCAACAGCATCAACATCAACAACAACGGACAACAATCAGCATAAATGGAAGGTACCTGAAAGAAACAACCTCCTTTACCTACCGACCGATCTGGGAAGCATCGTTTCAACTACTGGCAGACGGAACTGATGAGGATATCAAAGCAAGAATCGGAAAAGCAAGACAAGCTTTAATTACTCTCAAGCCTGTGTGGAGGTCAACAGCACCATTCAGCATGAAAAATAAGATCCGGATTTTCAACTCCAATGTGAAGTCAGTATTACTTGCTATACGGATCAGAGACTTGGCGCGTCATAAAGAGCATCTCAAACAAACTACAGACATTCATTAACAGTTGTCCTCGCTCTGTACCACTCAAGATCAGATGGCCGGCCAGAAAACATCAGTAACAATGAGTGAACCAACCAGGAACCGATTGTGAAACAAATAGGCAGGAAGAAATGGAGATGGATTGGCTGGCCATACTCTGAGGAAACCATCAAGTGACATCACTAGACAAGCCATTGGTCGAGTGGAACCCGGCCGATAGGGAAGTGGCGAGTTGGTCGTCAGTGCGAGGGTGATTTGGAGGAGGTCATGTGAAGAGGAGATGAAAGTGTGTGGACAGACTTGGAGCCAGGTGAAGACTCTAGCAGAGAACAGAACGCAATGGAGACGCACGGCTGAAGCCCTATGTTCCTCTAGGAATTAAAGGATACAATAATAATAAGAAGAAGAAGAACCTGAAGAAGAGAAATTATTGAAAAGAATATTCTTCGTTCAGATTGACTTTTAATTCCTAATATGGGAATATTCCACACTATCAAATCTTATATCTTAAATCCTCTCATAAATATATATATTCTTTTAATTCATACCAAAATGATAACACAAAAGTTAAACTTACTCTGCAAACTGGCGCTAACTGTACTGAACAGTAGAGTTGTGCTAATACTAATAAAAATTAACAATCCACTGAAAACAACACTTGAAAGACATCCAAATTGCCTTGATGTATTAATGTTCATTTCATTCGATTCTATCTTTTATAAACGATAATAATAATAATAACGATTAATACGAATAATACTTGACGTGAGAAACGATGATCCTGATGATGATACCGATGATGCCGATGATTTCGACGAATTCACCATCGATAGTTTATTTCTCCCCACTCGTTTTCTTTTTGCTTATGTAGTTGTTGATGCATAGAATACTAGAGTAATAGCACAGGAGAGATTTGAAAGTACTGTCATCATTTGTTCTGTATGTATGTATGTGAATGCGTGCGTGTATTATAAATGTCTTCAGGCTTCTTCCCCGCACTGTAATTAATATTGAGATCAGATGAAAGAGAGAGAGTTAAATTGCCTAAAAAACACAAAAATGATATTTTCAAATACTAGGTAGAGAAAGCATCGACAAATTTAACAAATCAATATAAATAAACTCACCGATATTCAAATGTTGGTTTGTAGGGATTTGATTGATTGGTTACACGATTTTATCATGAGCTGACATTGGTTAGAGAACCATTGGAAAACCAGTTGGGAGTACTGGACAGCTGTTTCGTCAACCTAGTTTGGGACTCTTCATCAGTACGCACCCATCGGGCTCTCTAACCTGGTTCTAATCAATGTCCGTTCATGATGAAATCCTGTAACCAATCAAATTCCTGCAAACCAACATTTGAATATCGATGAGATGATCACTAGTGACTTGCTCTATTCAGGTGGGTAGTTACCTGGGGTTCTAGTGAGAAGTCGTGACCAGTAGGGTACAGCAGGTTGAAGGTGAGACAGTAACTCATCAAAAAAGAAGACATTGCGAAGTGGTCGCGCTATGTTTTGCACGAATTGGTAGAAGTTAGAATTCATGGGCTAGCTGGCCACTGGATCGGCTCCCAGTGGCTAATGAATGGTCTACGAGCTCGCTAGCCTTGTAACCAGAAGGTCCTGTGTTCGGACCCTGGCGGTGGGTGAGTACTGAGGGAGAGTGCCAAACTAGGCTGACGAGACAGCTGTCCAGTATTCCCTGCAGGTTTTCCAATGGTTCTCTAACCAATGTCAGCTCATGATGAAATCCTGTAACCAATACATAAACACTCTTAGAACTTAAATTATTGATGAGTAATCATCTGGTATTAGATGGTTGGAGGCAATCGGCCACAGGAAGCCTTCGACCTAGGTTTTGAGCTAGTTGGCACTCATCAGCAAGGCGTATCTGCAACCTTGAAGGAACTAATGTCCCTCCTGAGATTCGAACCCGCGTCACCCAGTCGCTGCAGTTGGGCTCGCGACTGACCTCCTGTAGGACTGTATTGGATATTTTTGATTGCACACTAGTCAGTAACTAGCGTAATGTATCTAGTCCTCTCTTTGGTGCGGACTGAATTCTACCTAGCACGAAACCTAGGTCAAACAAGGCTTCCTACCGATTGCCTCCAACCATCTAATACTAACAAATCACAGTGCACCGTAATGGTGAGCCACCTAGTGGCATGGTGGCCACATTGCAAACAGGACTGATAGAATTCAGTCTGCACCGAAGATAGGACTAGACACATTACACTAGTTACTGATTAGTGTACAATCAAAAATAGAGTAATCATCTTTTTGAAGACTTATAACAAGTTAGATATTTGTGCATGAAAAAAAAGGAAGTACTTCGATTTCACGGCAAAGTTAAACTTTAAGCACCACTACCAGCTACTAATCAGCAAATGACCTCGAGTGCACCAATCACGTAAAGGAGGCATTTTTGTGTATGGAATACATATATTTATTTTTTTAAAGCACGAAAAATGTTTAAAAGTGTTACAGACGATACACCTTTTTCTCACATGTGATAAACGTAGCTCTCAGTTTTAGGTTAGAGTATCAAGGGAGTATAATTCCATTGTGGGTTAAATTTATTTTGATAAAGTTTCTTAGTGTTAATTATACAGTAATATTTACTGGGCAATAAATTGTGCTCAAAACATTATCAGTAAATATTACTTACTGTATAACACGCCGTGAGACTTTATCAAAGTAAATTTTACCCCGCAATGGAATTATACTCTACCACGGTGCCCAAGTTCTCTTCTTACATCAACAGAGAAATTTAACAGCATCCTATTATTACATTATTATTCTTATTGTTCCCTTGGGTTCCTAGTGGAACATAGGGCTTCAACTGCACGTCCCAACTTGCTTCTGTCTTCTGCTGTACTTTTCACTTGCATCCATGTTAATCCATACTGTTTCAACTCTTCTTCACACGATCTCCTCCATGTCACCCTTGGACGTCCCAAACGCCGCTTCCCTTTCGGGTTCCACTCGAGCGATGGCCTGACACGCGATGTCACCCAGAGGCCTCCTCAGCGAGTGTTCAATCCATCTTCACTTTCTCCTGCATATTTCTGGGGCGATTGCTTCTTGTTTTTTTTGTTCCCATAGTTTCTTGTTGGTGATTCTTTCCGGTCATCTGATCTAGAGCATAGAATGAAGACAGTTGTTGATAAAAGTCTGCAACAGGCTGTTGGAAATATTCTTTGTGACCCGCCAAGTTTCTGATCCGCACGTATAGAAGAACTGACTGACTTGACGTTTGTGTTGAAAATCCGAAATTTGTAGTTGATGTTGAGGAGTGACGAAGATTTCCAGATTGGTTTCAGGTTGATGAATGTGTTTCTCGCCTTCCCGATTCTCGATTTGACATCCTCGTCCGTTCCTCCTGTGCATCCTATGCATGTTATTATTTAGGTCTTCTAACCAGAACAATAACCCTAATCTTTCCTGAACCTAAACCTAACGTGAAAATATCCTTCCGCTGACTGTAATCTAACTTGAAGTAACCTAATGTCGCCTTCAATAGGTTAATAGGTTAACCCTAACTTGTCCTTGGCCTGAACCTTAACTTAATCATTCCCAAACCGAAGGCGAAATTTGCTAGAAATCCCATTTAATAGCATAGCGCACTTCGATGAGCATATTTTATTGATTATGGCAACATTATTTGCCAGGTTTCATTAACATGCTCAGTGAGCGTTCCAAGGTCATTGATGCGGCCGCATTCCATTGGTAGTTAGTTAGTGGTGCTTAAAGTTTAAGTTGGCCGATTTCACATTTAATGTAACTTAGCTGTAGAACACTTGATTACTGTGGTAGAATAGGTACAATTTTATGCTTTAGATAAGGTTAAGTTTGATGTAATACATACACACTGTGGTGATACACACAGTAATGATAACAGTATTGTCACTCTCCACAACATACCAAACAAAGGAGATTCGAGAGAACGATAATAAACAGAAATGTAAGGAAGAAAGAAAAGTAATATAGAAAAACAATGGGGTTTTCTTTTGGATACGACAGATCAACGCCAATATTTGAGAACGATTTTAAGTCATTTGTTATAAGGGACAATAACCACGTGTTACAGTCTTTTAAATCAGACAAATCAATTGAAATGTTGAACTTTTTTTGGGACAAATCTAAACAGGACTTGTTGAAGTGAATTTGATATTTCCCGCTGATTGAGGATATCGGACCAAAACGTCCGGTCTATGGTGTTGTCATGTTAGCTTCCTAGTACGAACCATATCTGAAGATTAACATGATGCTCTTAGGTGAATGGTGACTAGCAGTCAAATCAAGGATACACATTTCGTCCTGTTTACGACTCATCAGATGGACGCACTTGCAACTCTCAATGAGTGATGGTGTCCCCGCTGGGACTCGAACCCGGCACCAATCGTTTCAAAATCCCCAAAGCGTTATCCACTAGGTCACCTGGGTTGCAACTAACCGGTTAACATGAAATTAGTATCACAATAATGAAATCTCAAGTTTGGTCACGGATTGGCATCAGTTAGAAAACCATTGAAAACCATCAGGGAGTACTGGACAGCCATTTGGTACCAGCCACCACGTTTGAACCCAGGAATCTCCCAGTTACAAGCTCAGCTCCAAGACCATTCAAAGCCACTAAGACCCGACTCATTAGCCAGCGAATGAATTCCAACTTCTACCAATTCAGGATTTCAGTACTTGCCCCCTTAATCCCGACGTGGTGGCGGTGGTGGACCCCATTGGTCATGACTGCTCACTAGAACTCCAGTCAACTAACTTCGTCCTGTAACCAGTAGTCACCAGCGTGCATCAGATTAATTTTCAAGAGTATGTTTCTAGGGATTTCATTTGTTTCACGAAGTTAGAATTCATGGACTGGCCAGTGAGTTGAGTCTCAGTGGCCGAATGGTCTACGAGTTTGCCTTGTTACCGGAAGGTCCCAGTGTGGTGAGAGATGGCTGCTAGTCAAATTGGTAGATAGTAATTGACGTCAATGTTTATGTATCAAATATTAGTCGTGTCAAAACAAGATCAAAGACGGACAGCAGACTTTGCGTAGGCGGATACAATCAGCAGATAGATGATCTGACACTCAAGAGACAGCAACAAAGAGATGAAAGATTAACTTTTAGTGAGAAACAACCAATCAGAAGACTGTGTTTGTTTGCATAACTAATCTATAATAATGTACACGAAAATCTATAAATATGTGTTGATTTTCCTTAATAAACGATCTGTTGCCTGACTCTTGCCTTCTGTCGTTACACCAGGTTCGTACTACCGATGAGTCCCTAAGGACTAGGACGAAACAAGTGTCCAGTACTCCCTTCGCCGGTTTTCAATGGTCCTCTAACTGATGTCAATCCGTGGTTTTGAAACTTAAAATAAACTACATCCCTACAAACCAACCCTTGATGAAAATGATAATAATAATAATAAAATGCTTTTTGCAAGAGTCGATTTGTTTTTTCAAGTTTGCCCACGGATGGGCATCAGTTGGAGAACCATTGAAAACCAGCCAGGGAGTACTGGACAGCTGTTTCTTCGGAGTTCAAATTGTAAATTTTACAGAATGGAGAAGAATAACATCAAACGATGCCTTTTCAAGTTTGGACACTTCAATATATATTTCAGTGACAAATGATACCATTTTTAATAATAATAATCTACTTTATTCTAAAAACAGCACT